CACACTGTATGTTAACCCGTAATATGATTAATTTGGGTTGTTGGTTTAGCATAATGTATTTACCCATGTGTTGTAACTTAGGATATGCAAGAACAACGCCTCTGATTATTTAATGAATCATGCTTTAATAGTGTTTCATTAGCATGGTATGCAAATTCAACCTATATATTTTTCTGCAAATGAAGTGGAAATTAGGTATCATAATAAACTCTTTTTCTCCCAATCTTTACCCTTGCACTTGGATGATATACTTAATTCCTAGTAAGAATCTGGCTAAGTACATTTTCAGCTATGTATAAAATCAGGTATTTTGAAATACATTATAAAGTAACATGAGATATGTAATTTCCAATAATGTGTCTGTAATTTTCTAAAAACAGGGCATTACCTCCATGCATTATTTATTTAATAGAACCATTATTTTTTTAAAAAACCATTCTGATATATTTGCATAGTTATGCCATTTGTAGTGGCATGCTTGTAATGAAAAATCAGACTTCCACAGTGTAACGCCCTCCAGATATTCTGCAATTACAGCTCTCATAAATTCCCACCATCAGTCACAACTATGAACTGTGCTGACTGGGCATTATGGCAGTTCCCATCCAATAGAATTGGAAGGCAGGGATTAATGGACGCACATATAGAATCCGGATGTAGAAGAGAGAATTCCTGAGCTGCTATTATCACTTTGAAATATTTCTGGATTTCTGTTCTTAGAGATAAGGGGAAAATAGATTGAATCTTATAGGCAGCATTAATTGTTTGCCCACCAGGTGTGTGTGCTGTGTGCAGTGCGGAGCAGTTTCACCTGGCTTCCACTGTGAATGGCAGAGCAATTACACCCACTGTGCTCCCTGCGCCAGTCTTGTCACTTGTCCCATCTGCCATGTGAAATATGTTGAGGATGACCTCTTAATCCAGTGTCAGCATTGTGAACGGTAAGTCCCAATCCCTTTACTCACCTGGTATTGCCATTTCGTAATGGTATTATATTTACGTGAATCTTTTTGGACCCTGGCACCTGCTTTTTTCCTGGAGCATCATCTTAATGTAGCTGCCTTACTCATGGACATTTCAGCTTGCAAAAGGGTAAAGTTCAAGGAAGTTAATATATTGTAGAATTTTCTTTTATGTCTTTTTCATTATTCATTGCAAATTCTTGCTGGTCTTATTACATCAGTGAGTGACACAGATGAGAGAGTGAGTTAAAGCCATGAAAATTAGAGGGAAGGGAAATAGCCTCTTGAAAGTTTAATGTGTGGCATTTATGTGAGCAACAGGATGATATTAATCTATAGATCAGTCTTTCCCAACCTAATGTCTCTAGATGTGTTGGATTTCCATCCTGGCTTAGGGATAGTGGGAGCTGAAATCCAACATATCAGGAGAACTGCCAATAAAGGAAGAGTGATCTGTAGCTGTTGACTGTTAACATCATAATTGATCACCATAATCACACTGGCAAAAGAATACAGGTAGTCTTTGCTTAACATCCATTTGTTCAGCAATTATTAGAAGTTACAGCAGTGCTGAACAAATGGTAGTTACACCCGGTACCCGAAGTTATGGCTGCTGTAGGGCCCCGCAGTCACGTAATCAACATTCAGGTCACTTCAACTCCCCCCACCCACCCATCTCATTTTGGCCACCCTGCACTTTGCTGCCTCTGCTGGCCTTGCTGCCCCCAGTTGACCTTTGCCACCTTCTTCCTCCTGCTGCTGATGAGGTGCGCCTGGCCTGGCCCTTTGCGAAGCAGCTGCTGGCCACACCAGGCCTTCTTCCTGAGGCCATGTGTGCCTTTGTCCAAATCATGTGTGGCCTTCTTGTGAGGCTTTCAGATTGCATGTGGCCCTTGTCTAATTTGAAAGCCTTGCAAGAAGGCCATGTGTGATTTGGACAAGGGTGCACGTGGTGTCAGGAAGAAGGCCTGGTGCGGCCAGCAGCTGCCTCACAAAGGGCCAATGGAGCGCAGGATGGCAGAGGCAGCAGAACGTAGGCTGGCCAGAAGGGCAGAGATGAGGGGAGAAAGGCAGGTGGAGGGAGTTCAAGAGGAGCCCGTCTCTTACCTTACCGAGGCTCAGGGCTGGGAGGAACCAAGCTGGGAACGGCTTGGATCAGGGTGGGTCCTTGCCTGTGGCAAAGGGAAACCAGTGGGATTCAATTAATGATGGCAATGGGGACTGCCAGGATTGCTGTCGCTAAGTGATGCGATCATGTGACATCATGCTTTACAACCGTATCGCTTAACGATGGAAATTCTGGTCCCAATTACTATTGTAACCCAAGGACTACCTGTATGGTAATACCGTAGTTTATTTTTTGGAGAAAAGCCACAGATACTGGCTATGATGTGTCACTATGTGGCTCCTAGTTCTGGGAATCCATTCATAGTGCTACCCTGTTCTGGTAGTGGGCAAGGTCATCCTGGGAAAGGAGTAGAAGATTTCCTTCACAGGTTAGGAAACAGGCTGATTGCCCTTTGAGGACTTAGTGTTCTTCTTTGGCCCTTTGTGAGAATAGAAGAAGAACTAACGTGAATAATGAAAGATGTGAGAAGGAGCATATTCAGTGGCAGCATGGACTTGCAGCAGTAGTTCAAATGCTGTAGCTTCCTCCCTTTTCTCTTAAAATGTACTAGAATGCTTGAAGTGGCGTATGTGTGTTTCCCTTTGCCCTTTCCTTTTACCTTGTATTTTCTGCCCTCAAGAAGATCATTGCAAGAACAGTCTTACTCCTAGAGGGACAAACTGTAAGGCAAGAGCAGCACCTGCTTTTAGCATTTAATGGTAGCAGTATCCACAAAACAGGAGACCAGGTGGTACTGCTCTCTGACTGTCTGTTTCTCAGGTGGATGCATGCTGTATGTGACAACCTTTTCAGCGAGGAAGAAGTAGAACAGGCAGCGGACGAGGGATTTGATTGCACCTCATGCCAGCCATATGTAGTCAAGCCTGTTGGTGAGTACGAGGGTGGGTGAGAACCTTTTGATCCTCCTTTTTCAAAGAGGAAGCAGCAGTTACTGGACAGAGGACTGGGAGATGAGATCTATATGGCACCCTTTTCAAGATGCTTGTGTACTGGTGTTCTGGCAAGCATACACTGATCCTTGCCTTGGGCACCTTTTTTCTTGTTCTCTGAAACCTACCAGGAGGCTGAATCTAGGAATGGTTCCTATAATGCCCCAATATATATTTTTGGAATATTTGCAGGAAATTAAGAATGACTGCTGGTGTGCTCATAGCTATCAGCTTCCCTATCACAAGATAGGCCCACCATGGACCGTTTTGAGAGGGTGCTTTATTAACATTCTCTCAAACGTGGAGTCATCCTAACTAAGAAAGATATCCTGCTTCTTAGAGTTGGCAGAATGGATCTCTTTTACTTACAGTGTAACCTCATTTAGGTGATCACTGGTTACTCCCACTTCTGAAAAGTCTTTTTTAAGCCAAGTGTTGCAGACGCAGGAGCAAGGGCTACAGTTGGCCTCTAGATGAGTGTTAACGTTAAGTGGCTTGAAGAGATTGCCCTCCAGATATTAGAGGCCAAGAGGGAAAAAAGCAGATCATGGCTACATGAAGGCTACAGCGAGATTATTTGGGGTGACCGTTTGGAGGGTATGCACTGAATAAAAAGTGGTTGGAAATTATAAACAAGCATGTAATAACACAGCTATAATAGGACAACGCTGAAGCTGCTGGAGTTGGAAGTGAAGAGGATATGGTGGGTGCCACTGGTAGAAAATACTGCATGGGAGCAGAGTAGGGGAGAGGCTGGGTATGAGGTATGCTCTTAAAACATTTAGAATGGGATGTCTGGGTTTATTACATTTGTCTAGGGGACCCAAATAATATTAGTAAATTGACTTATTGCCCCCAGCAATGTTTTACCTTTTGTTTTCTTACAAGTTCCAGTTCCCCCTCCAGAAATTATTCCAGTGAAGATCAAGGAACCAGGTAAGTTGCTTAAATTTAAATACCTTAAATTCCATACATCTGACTTGCAACCAGGTAGATACCAAGCAAGCTTTTCTTCTATCCTGTCCGTGCAGAGCCCCAGTATTTTCGCTTTGAAGGTGTTTGGTTAACAGAGGCGGGCATGGCAGTGCTACGTAACCTGTCTTTGTCACCACTGCACAAGCGTCGGCCGCGCAAGACTACACCAGCAACACCAACGATGCCACGGCCAGGCATGCTTAATGGTGAAGGTGGATTAGATTGCCTCGGCCCTCTGGGTACAGATGAAAAAAGGGGTGGTGATGTGGAAGCAGACGAAATCCTGAAAGCTGAAGGTTTGTGCTCGTCCTACCATTTCCTTGGGAAAGGAGTAAAATAGCTCCGTGGTCTCTGCAACATAACACTGATTGAGATTAGATGCCGCAGCTGCGTACTTGAGTTCTTAGAATCAGAGGCCCTTCTAGTCCAGTCACATGACCCTGACTGGCGGGAGAAGCTAGGGCGCGATTGGCATGGTTGTAAACTCTTCCGTTTTCCTGCTGTGGAGAAATTAGATTTTTCCCACCTGGGTGGTTCTGGGTAGTGAGTTTGGGGCGTGCTATTTCAAGCAGAGACTGGATAGGCATGTGTCCCGGATGCTTTAATTTGGATTCCTGTGCCAAACAAGCATTTGGGCTGGATGGCCTACGGCCTCTTCTAACTCTGTGTTCTTGAGATTCTATGGCTGAACCAGTTTATCCATTTCCAGACGTAATCTGACTTCTTGATTAAGGATTGTTTATTTTTCTGTTACAGCTTTAATCTGAATTGATTTGTAGTAGAAGGAAAACTGGGACCCTAACCCTAACTCCACCTCCATCCCCAAATTAGTTCTGAGTGCATATGGCAAACTCCACTGTAGTAAAACCTCATTTTGTGGACTGCCGTTCAGCAGGCCTCAGATGTAAGAAACAAATTCCAACTGCAGATCCCCAGTAATGGAAAAGCCTGGGTTTTTTTAGCAAATCAGTCTGGACAATTGCATAAAGTATATAAATGTACAGGTAGTCCTTGAGTTACAACGGCATTTGGGACCAGAATTTCCATTGCTAAGCAATGCAGTTGTAATGCACAACATCACGTGACTGCATCGCTTAGCAATGGCAATCCTACACAAATAGCATTAGTAATCCCTATTGCTGTTGTTAAATGAGGATTGTGGGTCATTAAGCATCTCTGTGCAACTTCCTGCTGGCTTCCAACAACTGAAGTCAATGGGGAAGCCAGCAGGAAGTTGCAAGTCCCAAGCAGCTTGCAAGCAGGCTGGCAGGCAGGTAAATGGCTGCTGACGGATGGGAGAAGGAGTGAGGGGCTGTGCAGGTGGCCAGGGAGGTATGGCACAAGTCCAGCAGGGCTTGGAGTGGCTGCTGCCGAGTGGGAGGGGGCATGAGGGTGTGTGAGTGGTGAGGAAGGTGTGGTATGAGCACGGCAGGGCTTGGGTTGGCTGCTGCCGAATGGGAGAGGGTGCGTGAGTGGTGGGGGAGGGTGTGCAAGTGGCCAGGGAGATGTGGCACGAGCGCAGCGAGGCACAGGGAGGGTGCATGAGGGTGTGGGGATGAGGTGCAGTGCAAGTGCAAAGGGACTGGGGAAGGGTGCATGGGTGGGGGAGACTTACCCGAGCAACTTGCGACCTTCCCTGCCAGCTTCCCCATTGACTTTGCTTGTGGGAAGCTGGCAGGGAAGGTCACAAATTGCAGTCACATGACTGCAGGACACTGCAACTGTTGTAAGTGCAAGCTGGTTGCCAAGCACCCAGTTCATGATTACGTGACTGCTGGGATGCTGGGATGGCCAGAACTTCAAGGACCAGTCATAACCACCACTCGTTCAGCACCATTGTAACTTCGGCCACTGAATGAGTGGTTGTTAACGGAGGACTACCTGTATATAAATTATGTGATTTTACACAAATTGTATAACTTTCAGTTTAATGGATACCTCTTCTATATAAAAACAATGGGAGACATTGAAGGGCTTGTTTCTGTTTTCCCTCCCACTGCAGTTAGCGTTGAACACATGGAGTGTGAGATCAAATTGGAAGCCCCCCCTACTCCGGACAGAGAAACTACAGCTGAGGCTGATATTGGAAAAGGCCTTTTGGAAGACTCTGAGGAGGTCAAGAAGCGGAAGCGGAAGCCCTATCGCCCAGGTATACATTCCTTGCTTTGGTCAAGCACTGATGAGCCTGTATTCCTACAAAGTTCTGCTTCCTAGCTCTGCTCTCACTTGTTTCTCCTCTGCCCTGGAACAGGTATTGGAGGTTTCATGGTGCGACAGCGGAAATCACACACACGCTTGAAAAAGGGTTCAGTACTCTTAGCAGAAGTCTCTCGTGAGCTGACAGCTGCAGAAGGGCAACCAGAAGAGGGCAAGTGCTGCATTTGTATTTGTACTTCTCTCTTATTTCCTCCAAATAGTCTGAGGTTAAGTATATGTGTGAGGGATTTCCTTTTAATCTAGAGCAGGAGTCACCAACATGGTGCCCTCCAGCCCCAGTCACTGGAGGGGGCAAGTTTGGGAAGGCTGTTAAAACTCTCCTAATGTCCATAATCTTTTTTTTTTTTTTTTTAAGAAAGAGGATTGCATTTTCAGACACTCCTCAGTTTGCTGGCTGAGTCATTTACATCTAGTGTTCAGTTACATATATTTCTGCTTTAAATTATGGTACATATTCTGACCTATAGACCTGCATTCTCAAATTTGGAATTAGAGTTGGGGAGGGAGGGAAGAGTGTCAGAAACTAGGACAAAAATAAGTGATGAAAACAATAAAAGGCAGGAGTAGGGAACCTTTGGCCCTCCAGATGTTGTTGGACTAAATGTTCATCATACCTGACTTTTGGTCTTGGTGGACGGGGTTCCTGGGAACAGGAATCCAACCAGCTTTGGCCTCAGAATTTGTTGTTGGGAGAAAGACTAGTAGGGAGCAATAATCATCAGTGCTCTGTGCACTTCCTCTCCTTTTCCTTCCTAACTTTCTGCTGAACCTGAAGGTTATTGCAGCAAAGCCTGCAATATGTGCTTAGCATTCCCAGGCTTTGTTTGTTCATACAGGGCCATGCTAAACTCAGTCTTCTCTCCTTACCAGGAGTGCAACCTAACCCACCTGCTGAAAATCCTGCTGAGACCTTGGCTGAACAGGGAGTGGTTGAGGCTGATGAAAAGAAGAAACGGCGGGGGCGGAAGAAGAGCAAGCTAGAAGACATGTTCCCTGCCTATCTTCAGGTAAGAGTGATGTTTTAGTGCAGCACTCCCCAAACTCTTGGCCTTCCAGCTGTGTTAGGGATAATGTGAAGTTTTACTGTAGTTTCACACACCTGAGAAAAACAAGCCTAGGAGAGGGCTAGATTAGTGGGAGATAAATGTCTCTGGGCAAGGAGTACCAAAGTTCCTTTAGTCCAGTTCTTGTTGTAGCAGCAGTGAGGAAGGTCAGATTAAAGGGATGTGGATATCATGGAACAGTGTGGAAGTGGAGGAAACAATGATGCTGTTGCAAGTAATGGAAGTAGATCTCTATGGATTTTTTAAAAAGGAAGTCTGCTGGGGGGGTGGGCAGGGTAGCTTGGAAGATGTTTATTGTGAATTAAGGCATTCGCTCCAGAGCAATTGAAATGAGGGAGTTTGGTGTTCCAGAAATTCATTCAAGTAATACTCTGGGCCTTTATCATATTTTTGTTCTTTCTTCAACTTCTTTGACAGGAAGCATTTTTTGGCAAAGCACTCCTAGACCTGAGCAGACAGGCCCTGTTGGCTGCTGGTGGTGTGCGTGGAGATGGAACTGCCCATCCTCCTGTCGGCCAGGGAGCTCCCAGACCCAAGGTGGATTCCGGCATGCTCCAAAAAGGGCCTGAGGATGGGAAGGCAGCTCTGGTTCAGCCCAAAGGTAAGTGGACAGCTGAGGAAAAGTAGCTGGATTAAGGGGGTAGAAATAGTGGGGTTTGGGGATCTGACTCTGGTTTGGATCCCTGGTAGTGAGGGAAGGAGGGCTAACAAAAAAAAATAAGTTCCAGATACATTTGCTTGGGAATTCAGAAGAAAATTCCATTTGATTTTGAAGAAACATTGGCCTAAAATGTTTAGGCTCATAGGTGGAGGAAAAGTGTGGAGTGAACTGGCACTGCGCAGGAATAAACAGTGGGCCCCCAGAAGCCAAGAACCATTTTTAAAGTCAGTATTAGGACATTAGCTGTCTGTTCTATTCTAGTAGATCAGCTTCTTTCTGTCTTTCCTTCTCCAGGAGATGAATGCCTTAGCAGCAGGGAAACGGCAGCTCCTGAAGGCAACTTAAAAGCAGCCGATGCCAAGACTGAGAATACTGGTGGGTATGAAAATTTTAAAAAGAGCATAGAAGGCTTGTTGATCACCAGGATGTATGCCATGTCACTTTTGAGGCTGTAATCCTCCATCCATGTGCTTCAGCCGGCATGTGTAAATTGTGCTACAGAGTACTTGAAGTGATTATTTTTACTACTTTAACATATTTGTCCTATGTTAACCTGTACAATTTCTTATACATACATCCCAAACATGTTCCTTTTTGGGGTAAGGAAAGTTATGTGAAGTGTACAGAAACCAATAAGAAATAGTAAGCCAAAGAAACTGAAGACATGAGAAAGAAAAAATATATAGCTAAAACTAGTTTACCTGTAAACATCTTGTCATATATTGTCTTTTGTTCTTTAACTTCTTACCTCTCTCTTATTGAGGATCTCATCAACTCCATCCAGCCACAATTTGCTTGTTCTTCATCAGCTCCAGTACACAGGACCAGATCACTTTTATTCTGATCTGTCACATCCTTTCCTTTTCAGTTAATTTCACAAACACACATCACATCTATTTTTCTTTATTTCATTTGATCTGTTAATTCATGCTCTTTATTCTTGTTACATTCCAAATTGCAGTCTTTCCGATGTTATGGTCATCAGCAGAAGGACTCATATGTATTGACCACTGCCACCCATGGTGGCTTTGGTCTACTGAGGCTTTCAAATAACACTTTTTAGTAGTCCTGAGAAGATGGAGTCAAGGTTACCAGTCTTAGTCATACTGGTGCCACACGCAGCATTCCTTGCTAAAGGTTAGTATGGGCCTGGTCAGTTAGGGCACATTTTGGCCAGCAGGCCACAAGAACCTCCAGAGCCCAGTTTTACCCCAAGCGTGGTCACTCTCTTCTACAGAAGCTAGGTTGTCAAATCTAGAGACTACTTTGCAAACATACAACATCAAACATGCAGCTTAAAAGCCCACAGCCTACCAACTAGGAGAGTCGTGGAGTATACTGACATACACTCAGAATGCTTAGGACACAGAATAGTTTCTTACAGTCTTGCTGAAATCCAACACCTGTTGTAGCTATGTTTGATTCTTGAAAGTTGCAAGCATAGTTGTAGCTCATGCAGTTGGTGCTTGTTCGTTCTAGCAGTAGCGTTGGCTCCCATTGATGGAAAGATAGCACAACATAATTTCTTTGACATATAAGATGAAAGAAGATAGATTTGCTGCTGCTGCTGCTGCTCTTCCTCCTTCCTGGCATTTTGTTCAAAGGTCTTGGGAATGGAATGAGAGACTCCCACTTTGTCTGCTAATGCAATAATATTTAGCTGGAAGCTTTTGGGTGTGGCCTAGATGTGATGACAGTGAGCATCACTTTGTCAAGAAATGCTTACTAGGAGGCAGCTTTCCCTAGAAGAAAAGGTTTGGCTCATGATTAGAGGTGAAGGCACAACTATTCCCTCTTTGTTCCTTTTTCAAAGGATAGATAATGCCTACAACAATTCTGCAGTGTTCAACAATAAAATCATATTGTCCATATAAAGCAACACTCACCAAAAGGCTAAGACTAATAAAAAACTCTTCAGCACATATCTGGATTGTAACAGTCGGTACCTGTTTTATTTCTGAGGGAATAGGTATTCATAGTGTCTGGGCAGTTCTGTTTAAGAAACGCTTTCTGTCCAGTGTCCTAATCACAGTTGTTGTGACCCCAGGTTACCGCCAAAACCCTTAAATCTGACCCAGTTACAGTTTAGCACCCAGTGCACATTTTTCAGCAATAGTGTTAGTTTGCCGTGCCTAGACATATGGCATGGTAACTTTATTGTTACATGTTTCACTGTCTGCAGTAACTAGACTGAGCATCAAAGCAGTCCGTGATGGAATATGTAGCGGTAATCAAGATTTATAGTTAAGACTTGTCAGTGCACGGATCGGTAGTTAAGCTAATTCCTGTCTAAGAACAGCTATAGCAAGTATACTGGGTGAAGGTGCAAAAAGCATCCAGTGTCATTACAGTCACTGGTCCCTCTTCTTTAGCTTGGTCTTTGTCTTGCCTCCACTGCCAAGAGATGTAGGTAACTTTCAGATTCCACTGAACAGAAGTTTCAGCTGATGCAAAAATAAGCACATGCACACATGAAATCTGGGATAGCACCTGATTTTGACATTTGCTGGAGTCTTTTTTATCTAAGGAGCCTTGTTTTCTAAATATCCAGCTGCAGGAGATTTGGGGCCAGAATTTTTCACAAACTTGTTACTATAAGAATGCAGCCAGCTAGGGGCCTAACTTCTCATTTTAAGGAGTAAGCCATCCTTCCAAACATCCTCAAGATATAGAGATTAGACATCTTGCCCACAGTCTGGCCTCTTGATACTGTAAGTAATGCCGTGTGCTGATTGACATGGTGTGCTTGCTCTCTACAGGCACAGAAGAGCAGATGGTGCCCAAGACCTCTCCAGAACCTACAGGTGCCGAGAACCCAACCACACCCCCGGGGGAGGGGGTGCTCAGCTCCGACCTTGACAAAATCCCCACTGAAGGTCAGGCGGGTCTTTTGAACAGACCCTACTGCCCCCATCCCCCTGCCAAGCATCTGCTCTGTGGAGAGCAGCAGAGAAGGAAAGCTAGGTTTCTCTCCTGGCTTCTCTTCTGACTGCTAGAGAAAGGGTAGATACTAGTGGCTTAAAATCAGTCTAGGTGTTCTTGTATCCCATGTTTCTTGTTCTTGCCCTCCTCATACCCCATTCATGTCTCACTTCCCTTATAATTCAGCCTGCTGTTATTGGAGACTATCAGGTTCCCTACATTACTGAGGTTGCTCCAAATGAACTTTACTGCCTTGTGATTTCACTGTGACTTTCTTCCTTTTTAACAGAGTTACCGAAAATGGAGAGCAAGGATGTTCAGCAGCTCTTTAAAGATGTCCTGGGTTCTACTGAACGAGAGCAGCAGCTTAACTCTGTTGGGGTAGACGCTGAGGCCAGAGGCATTCGTGATCCAAACTGCTCACAGCTTGCCCAGAGGCCTTTTCTTCAAGGTGAGCTATGAATACTGAGATGGGGTGTTGTACAGATTCTTATCTTCCTCAGATTTTTTGGATTTCTGCAAGAAAAAGGGTACTTGAGCTTAGATTATGTAGGAATTTTATTCAACAATTTGAAAACTGAATTAACCTAAAAATTAGTGATTGATTGAAGATACTCTTGAGAGTGGGTTGAGATATTGTGGCTTACTTGGGACACAGATTTGCACTTCCTGTTCTCTGGGCATATGCCGTAAGCAGATGTTGCATTATAACACCCCATCACATGCTAGGCATTTCTGTTAGTGCAGACTAGTAA